AAAAAAAAAAAAAAATAACTAAAGACAACCCTTCTCCAGCTAACAAACGAGCCCGACCAGCAGAGAACAATCGATCCAAGGAATATCCCAAGCCCGGTCACAACTACCGAAACTGCGGAACTGCCTATACAGCAGCCAAACCCGAGCGCCAAACCTAGCCCCAACGATTCGCCCCAATCGAGATAACGACACCAACTCCCACTCCGTCACAACCCAAATTTGTCTAACACCACTAGTCAAACTCGGGTGCTCCGGACCCACCCGACCCCAACACCAGAGAACCGAGAGAGAGAGGGAATGGCTCTGTCCTACAACTCCAAGCTTCAATGACGAAAGGCACCATAGCAGCCCGAGCCCCGCGCCACCTTCAGACCCTCCGACCAGCCATCATTGCAGTCCGCCGACAACCAAAACGAAGCCCCAAAACGGAGCCCCACCTAGGAAGCGGACCCGCCACCATTCGCTACAATACCTGAAATAGGGGACGAATACCTTTAATTGGGACTCACCAGCAATCGATGCCACCAATCACAAGCCCAATCGCTGCCTGAGGAGCTCGCCAACATTAATCGTGGAATTGCCTGCAGCCAAGGTAGGGGCAGACATTCCAGCTCTGATTTCCTGCAGCAGCCACAGCCGACCGAGGGGACAAAGGGAGGAACAGGCGATTAAGGGCGACGGCGAGCCGTAGCCTCGCCGTCGGTGGGGAAGACAACGCGACGCGAAGTTAAGAGACGACGACGAAAGTTTTTTGCTTTTTTTCGCGAGAGAGTTTAAGGGTTTTTTGTGGACAAAATATGTAAGTGCAAATAATTTCTTCAATTCAATTAACGACTGAAAGTCACAATCCCAACCAATATAAATAAGAGTCCTAACCTTCTAAATTTCTTGTTAGTGCAAGATAATATTCTTAGATATCCTATATAAGAAAGGAAATAATAAATAAGAAAGGAAATTATATATAAAACTTAAATAATTAAATGCATTAAACTCGGAGACGATCGTATTTATTTAAGAAGGCGATCGCGGTCTCGTCTCCATCACTATTGGTGTTGGCCAATTCAATTTTGTGTTAGATATGTCAATGCTTTTCTCGGGGTTCACGAAATTTTATATTGGCTAGTTCGATATAAGGGTACACTTAGCATATTTAATTGTAAATGAAGGTTAATTATGTAAAATCCTCTTTATAGTTATTAATATTGAGCAAGAAACAAACAAGTTATTCGATCTTATTCTATCAGTTGGATAAAGCTAATAAGGCATGTAGGAATTCATCAAGCCCATTACTATTTCCAACCAAACATACCCTAAAAGTTTGCTTTGGTTTTGATCTTTATTTGTATTTTGAATGATATTTTTTATTAGTTAAAAGATTTTTTTTAACATTTAATTTATATTGTATATAATATGGTGTGTAGAGTACATGGAAGATATATTATCTCTTGCTTATAAAGTAAAAAAAAAAAAAAAAAGTTTTACAATTGAGATAGTTTTGTACAGACAATTGCAATGTTTGAAATAATTAAAAGGGTATAAAATATGAAACAGATAATTGGTGTTCAAGTAGCTTAAAAAAGACTAGTACAGAGCCCGTGCGATGCACGGGGTGCACAATTTTAAGGTCATTTATCCAT